GAGATTGCAAGAAGGGCAGTAAACACTGAAGAAGAGAGGTCGGAGAGAAGCAAGCTCCAGGGTTCTCATCACTCCTATTCATGGAAGTAGATGGGTTACAAGAGGGATGTCTTATGCCAAGAACAAGTGACTTTGGAGATTTCTTCATAAACCCTGACCCCAACCCCCTCTTCCATATGGTCCCCAAATGGCAAATAGGTTTCATTTTCCAAGGACAGAGAGTATCTACCTGGAGTACTCTGGTATGAAGAACTTCTAGGGCACTTATCCAGTTTCAAGGGAAAGGGAAGAGGGTTGCTTCTATACCAATATCAGCTTTTTCTGTTAAAACAATTCTTACAGTTCAATTCAATTTATTCCCCTCCTCTTCTTCCTTCTTTTTGGCCTGCAGTATTGGGAAATTGAATCCAGGGCCTCACTATGCTAAGCAAAAGCTCCACCACTGAGCTACACCCCATTTTCTTGACACAGAGTCTCACTGGCCTCAAACTTAAGTCCTACTGCCTCAGCTTCTTGCATGCTGGGATTACACGTGTGCAATAGCACACTAGGCTTCAATTCAGTTTCTAGTTGTCTGTTCCACTTACCATGTTTCAAATTACCTCCTAGACACGACACCTGTGAAGTTCTTAGGACTTCTGTGTAGACCACTTCATGTCAGGTTACAACCTTAAACCCTCCTAAAGATCATCTACTCAGCTGGCAGCACTCTCTACTAATGTTTTCTAAGTCTCCATCTCTGGACAAGACCTGAGCACCAGAAACTTGTCTGCAATTGTCTCTTGGGCTTCAAGTACATCAAATATGCTGGGGCCCATCCCTGTCACCTTAACCAGTTTCTTTCTCATTCCAGTTAGTGTGCCCCCATTTACTTCTTGCAACAATTCATCTTCCAGCTCCTCCTTTCCCTCCATGTCTCACTGGCTACCAATTCAACTTCAGAAATTCCTTAAATCTGCTTCTCTGTTCCCTCCCTATTGCCTCTGCCTGTGCACATCTCTGTGTTCTCTCAAATTGACTAGGGAAGTGAACACCAGCCCACACAAAGTTTTCTCCCTTCCTTAACAGTCTTTAGTGGCAGGGGCCAAGGGCATAGCTCAAGGGTAGAGCATTTGCCCAGCAGGCAAGTTTCTCAGTTCAATCTCCAGACCTATAAAAAAAAAAAAAAAAAGTCTGGTGGCTTTACTTTACAGGACAAAGATCAAAGTTCTTAGCCCTTGACACATAATGTTGTATGTTTGTCCAACTGTCTCTCTCTCACTAGACTCTGACCGCCACCAAGGCAGGAAATGTCTGCCTCCTTTCTCTTTGAGTTCCTAGTAACTGCTTGGAGATACAGAACATAATAAATATTTACTGAATTAATGTAAGAAGGTAGAAGAAAAGCATTAAAAGCAACACAGTTTTAAGCCCTCAAGTAAATTGACATTAGATCATTTTCTACAACTCTTACTGCCAGCTCATTCATCTCTGCTCTTACTACGGATAGCAAAGGAATAGAACTCTTTATGTGACAATGAACAGGAGATATAACGAGAGTGCGAATAGGGTCTGAGTGTAAATTTTCTTTAATTAGAACTTGGTCCCATGGTTTTGCAGGTATACAATCCTGGGCAAGATTCTTAATCTCTGGCCTGTTTCATCACTTGTAAATAGGAGATAATTATAGTTCCTAATTCTGATAGTCAAATGAGGTCTAACACTCAATGATATAACTGTCCAGGTGAACCCTTCATTTTGCCATCTTCATTAGGGCTTCTGAAAGGGGTTGTATATATTTTTCATGAACAGATAACTACCAACAATGTTTTTTTTTGGATAATCAAAAAGGCATACATATTTTCTAGAATAAGATGAACCATATCTTTATTTCTCCATAGAGTTCAGGTTATCCAAAGTCAGCCTCAGATGGAGGTTGGGGAGGTTCTGCCTCTTGTCTTCTTCATGTTTTCTACCCGTTCTTTGCTCTCCCCAGCAGGCCCAGTGGCGCCTGGAAGGAAGAGGCAGCAAAGTCTACACTCCTTTGTCCAAACAGCCTAGGGACTCAGAGAACTCTACACTACAAGTTAACAAAGAAGTTTAAATGTTGCCTTTCAATATTATCTCAGAATTCATTTATCCATACATCATAAAGATACATTGATACAACTGAAAAAATTCATTCATTCTAAACTTGGGTTCCATAACTGGACTACACCTCTTGTATTAAGCCAGGAATAGCTATTTTTCTTATAAAACCACTACACACAGTTTGAGAAGCACTGATAAAAGATATTATTATTTTTGAAATTTGCTTAAGAACTAGTCTAAGTATAAACTAGTTAAAAGGTATTATGTTGAAACACTTTTCCATACCAAGTATAGGAGTTGTCAGTGTACAAACAGATTCCAGAACAAGTTTGTTTTGTATTCAGTAACTTGATTATTTGGTAGTCTGAAACTACTTTCCCATGGAGCAATATGAGTCCAGGATTGTACTCTTGGTGTTGCCTATAAATCCCAGCTATCTGAAAAGATAGCTAAGTCACACATAAAATTTAATAACAAATATATCAATCTTATAACAGAGAAGATAGGTTTCTGACTTCCAAATCAGAAAATTTCTCTCTTTGAGAACATGGTGTCGAAGATGGGGGTGACATTTTCAGCAGAAATTGCTTTAATGGAAGCGTTCAGAAAGATGATGGGCTGCAGTTATCTTCACACACAGTAATGGGGGAACTCCCTGGCCATGTTAGCCCAATTAAAGCACAGTTTCTATATGATTCTCTGGGTGAGAGCAGGCAGGTTTGGCTGGGCTCAAAAGCTCTGGTTCTTTGTGTCAAATGCGTCTAATGCTGAACTCTAGAGCTTCTGTCTTCTTGACCACCCAGCACCAACACAGAAAACAAGCTTCATCCTGAACGGAACTCTGTCCCTGGTTAGGTCAAGGTCCTTATTTCGCTGTGTTGTTAGGCAAGATTATGAGGACAAGTCTGGGCTTGGTGAGAAACACAGTGATGATCTAGTTAGTGATGTCTTCTGTGGGCAAGCAGAGAAAGGTAAGTCAGGACAAGAGCTGGTTTCGTGCTATCCTGAGTCCAGGTAAACTACACAGATCTCTAACACTTTTATTTCAGGTGAAACCAGGCTTGGCTATGAATATGACTTTAAAAAACACCTTGTAAAGAGCAAAAGGGACACAGACATTGAGAATAACACAACTAGGTAATCTTAGTTACGATCTATGATTTCTTCATTTTGTGACATATGTGGGAGTGTTGGAGCCAGGCTTTTGACCAGGGGATAGCTCATGTACTTCCCACTACCCAGGAATCCTTGAACTAAGATTCAGACCTAAGCAAAAAGCCTAGGTAATAGTGCCAGACCCTCTAATTGGGTCATCCTTCTAAGTTCTGACTGCATTTATGAGACACTTCGCCTCCCATGATTAACAGCACAGTCAAGAGGATTCCATGTCTATGTTTACACTCACAGGTTTCTTAACCCACGTGGGTCATAAATTGTTTAGTGGGATCTGGGGATGTAGCTCAGTGGTAGAGAGCTTGCCTGCATGGATGAGGACCTGGGTTCTATCACCAACGCTGAAAAAACAAAACCAAAAATTTCAGGGGAATTGATGATTTTGGATGAGATTTAAAAAAAATAGCCTTGATTTCAAATGAAATTTAACACTTTCTTCAATTACAAAAGTAGGAAAGAAATCTCAGAAGCTTTAGCAGTATTTGTAACCTTGTTACTAAAGAAAGTAACAACTTCATTATTTTATACAGCTGTTATAGGTATCCTGAAATAACATTTACATTCATTGTCATCTGAAAGAATGTTGGTAGATCTTGTTATTTAATGTGTTCAATAATGTAGAGTACATGATACTACTGTATTACTACAGCACACACCTGTTTTTGAAATACTTTGACAATTGCATTTCAGTGTAATCAGTTTCCTTGTCAATCCAATGCTTTTTATTGTATGCATTTATAAACATTATTCTGAGAGGGTTCCTGTAGGATCAGAACGGTCAGATGGGTATATGACCTAAAAAAGACTCAGCTTCCTGGGCTTTTCTAAGGAAAGCTGTTTAGTGCTCCATCTACCTTGTGGTATAATCACATATCCTTTAGGATTAAATCAGAAATATACTCAAGCAGAGTGGGGTTTTTTCTTTTCTTTTAGGTGAGGAGCAGGTGAGAAATTCACATCTTTTATTTGATAGTTGTTTATAAAAACCGATGTTTGGCCTGATGAGGTGATGCACATCTGTAATCCCAGCATTTTCGTGTGGAAGCAGGAGGATCTCCAGTTCCAGGCCAGCATAGGCTACACAGGGTCATCCTGTCTCGAAATAAATAAATAATAAACATTTTCATTTGTTTAAAGATTGGCTATTTTTGACTTCGGCTCCATATGGCGGATGGCAATTAAAACACTGGAAAACATTAAAGCTGATTTCAGATGAAATAACTTATTGTGACTGTCCTAATCTTAATGGTTAAGTTTCCATTTTATACTTCTTTATTTCTCCCTGTTATAAGTATTTTTCAAAGAAAAAAGAGAATCTACTTATTTTTTAACATAAAAAAGTGTGTAGGTTCTTAGGTTTCTAGTCTACATGTTTTATTTTGCCTCCTATTAGAAAAACTAGTGATTCCAGCCTGAAATATTGACAAAGTAAATCTCAGTACCCTTTCCTTCAATTAAAAAAAATGAATCTTTAAAACATGAATGGGAAGTTTCTTACTGGATTAGTAAGAAACGTCTTTGCGGGACAAGGACAAGAGAAGTCACGCACACTGCTCCAGATTTTTTTGGGCAGGCGGGGTGTGTGGAAAGGACAGGAAGATACAGAGCTTGACTTTAGCCTGGAGCAGAGCCTGGGAGAGCCGCGTCCGGGGACAGGAAAGGTGCGGCCGCTGCGGCCCTGGGGGGCGTGGCCAGGCTTGGGGGCGTGGCCCTAAAGGCGGGCGGGGCCAGGGCGGGGCGCGGCCCTGCGCGGAGGACCGGGACCGCTGGCACCGCCCCACCTCCGTGCTGCCGGATCAGAGCCGAGTGGCGCTGCGGGGGCTCCCGCGCCATGGGGCGGCTGGTGTCCGTGAGCGTGCTGGGCATCGCGCTGGCGCTGCTGGGCGAGCGGTTCCTGGCGCTCAGGTAGGTGGAGCTCTGCGCGCCCCTCCTCGCGGGTCCCCAGGGTGGAGGTGGCCGCGGAAGAGGCGGGCGGAGGGACTGTGGCTGGAGGGCAGAACTTCTCTTGGCTCCCGGTCCAACCGGCGAGGGAGCCCACCCCACCCCCACCCGGCCGCTTCCTGAAAAGTTTGCAGGCCTTTGCTTCTTCTGCTTCGGTTGACAAGCGAGTGCTCTGCAAGTACTTAAGGACAAACCTGATGCTGTACTTGAAAACAAAGCGATGACTCATGCATTGAAACTTTTGATTATGGAGACGTATTTCTGGTCACCGGTGCGCTTCCCTTTGTGGCGGGAACCAGCCCCTCTTCGGTGACGTAGCTGTCCCCTCCTGCCCTCCACAGTGGCGAAACTTCCTCTCTAATCTTGGCGCTGCAGATCAAAGGCGCTCGAGAGTCAGCTACTATTCTTACATCACTTCCTTATTATCTGTGCGCCCGGGATCCCTGGAGCAGAAAACCCCAGGGTACAATTACAACTCGGAATTTAGTTACAATGAAAACTTGCTGGTTGGACATCGTGGTTTCTAAATTACCCATTCCAATTATGCGAAGAAATTCTGAGCACCTACTGGGTAGGGTGTGCTCGCCTACACACCTGTAGACCAGACCCTAAAGGATTTCACCCTATTACAGGAAAGGAGGGAAATAAAATCAGTAAGCCAATTGGCTCGTTCAGGACAGGTGAAAATTTCCCCTACAAGCTTACAGCGGGAAAGATTACACCTCTGAAGAAGGAAGAGTCCTTTGACGTTGGCCTTGAAGCATGAGTGCAGTAAATATGCGGGTGGAGGAGGCCATCCCAGGAGCAAGATGCAGCGTGAGCAAAGGGACTAAGTGGGGGAAGTTTGTACAAGAGCACATGGACCGGGATGAGGGGAATGTGAAGACAAGGGATGAAGGGGAGGCTATAAATTGAAAAATCGGCAAAGGCGAAGTATTCATGTGTTTCATTTGTTGTGCCACAAGAACCTCATATAACCGGTTTGGCATTATAGAGATGAAGCTGGAAGGCAGAGCAATGGTTGTCTGTATTTAGGATCTCCTGAGTGGCACCCCAAGAGATTCTGATTCAGCTGGTCTGGGTGGACCTAGCCCTTGTTTTTTTTTGTTTTTATTTTAATTAATTAACTTCGATTTTTTTTCTTTCTTTTTTTTTTTTTTTTTTAGAGGGTCACACTAGGTAGCCTCTAACTCATATAATAGCCCAGGCTGGCCTGGAAGTCGAAATTTTCTTGTCTTGGTCTCTGTAGTGTTGGGATTACAGGTATGCTCCACCATACCTGGCAGTATATTTTATTTTTACAAACTCTCCTGATGGTCTGGGAGGGGGGCAGTAGCTCAGTAGTGGATCCCTTGCTTACCATGCAAGAGGCCCTGGGTTTGATCCCCAGCACCAGGGACAAAAGAAAACAAAACCTCTCCTGACATACAATACTAGTGTGTGGAGGAAGCAGGTTAGAATGGGTAGGAGCCACTTCTTACCCGTCAACATGACCTTGCAGCACATTCATGAATTGGATAGGAAGTTTTTAAATTTTACTTTGATTGACATATAACAAATGTGTATGTTATGGATGCAAAGTTATGTTTCCGTACATGTGTGCATTGTGTAATGATACAATCTGGATAATTATCCTGGCCTTCACCTTGGACATTTTTCATATTTTTGTGGTGGAAATATTCAAAATCCTTTCTTCTTCCTGCTTTGAAATACACTTTATTATTAACCATGGTCACCCTACCGTGCAGTAGAGCACTAGAGCTTACTTCTCTTTTCTAACTAACACTGTACACCTTGCCCAGTCTCTTCTGATCACTACTCCCCTCCCCCATAGTCTCTGCTGACCACTATCTTCCTCTAACTTCTATAAAGTCAACTTTTTCACAATTCTACATGAGTGAGCTCATGCAATATTTATCTTGATGTGCCTGAATCATTTCACTTGACGTTTCCAGGTTCATTCATGTTGTAATAAATAACAGGTTTTCCTCCTTTTTATGGCTGAATAGTACTCCATTGTCAGTAGATAGCACATTTCTTTATCCATTTATTGTGAATGGTGCTGCCGTTGAACATGGGAGTGCAACTGTCCCTTCAGCATGCTGATTTCATTTCCTTTATATGTTTACCAGTAGTGGGATTGCTAGATCATATACAGTAGTTCTTGTTTTCACAATGGGTATACTAATTGACATTCCCACCAACAATAAAGATTCTCTTTCTGGACTGGGGTGTACTTCATGGTGCTATCCTAGCATGTGTGAGGCTGTGGATTTGATCCCCAGTATCAGAAAAAAAAAAATTCTTCTAAAGTTCTTTTTCCTCCACATGCCCACCAGTGCTCTTTATCTATTGTCTTTTTTTTTTTTTTAATTTTTTCAGTGGAATTGGAGTTAGAACTCAGGGCTTCCTGTTTGTAGAGTAGGCACTCTACCACTTGAGTCACAACTCTAGTCCATTTTGTTCTGGTTCTTTTGGTGATGGGGTCTTGTGAGCTATTTCCCTCGGGCTGGCCTTGAACCAAGATCCTTCCTATCTCAGCCTTCTAAATAGCAAGCATTACTGGTGTGAGCCACCCAGCACTGGTTCTTTTGTCTTTCTGATGATGGTGGTTATCCTAGTGGGAGATGATTATCTCTTTGAGGTTTGGATTTGCATTTGCCTGGTTACTAGTAATGCTGACTATTGTTTCCAAATCATTGCTGTTTGCATGTCTTCTTTTGAGAAATCCCATTCTGGGCTTTTACCTATTTTCAAATTGGATTGTTGGATTTTTAAAAATCTTCTTGTTTTTTCTTTTCCTTTTCTTTTGTGGTATTGGGGCTTGAACTCGGGGCCTTCACCTTGAGCCACTCCACCAGTCCAATTTTTTGTGATAGGGTTTTGTCGACATAGGGTCTGGGAGGGTTGGGGAGGGGGGCAGGGTGGAGAAATGACCCAAACAATGTGTGCACATAATAAAAATAAAATAAAATTAGGGAAAGTTTAAACAAAAACTATTTGCCCAGGCTGACTTCAAACCACAATCCTCCTGATCTCTGCTTCCTGGGGAGCTAGGATTATAGGCGTGAACCACCAGTGACATCACTTTTTCTTTTTCTTTGTTTTGTTTTTTGCTAATGAGTCATTTGAGTTACTTATGTATTTAGGATATTAACCCTTTATCAGATTTATGACACTTTCCTCCATTCTATAGGTTGTCTGTTGACTGTTGTTTGTTCTTTCTGCTGTTCTGAAGATTCTTCATTTGATACAGCCTCATTAGTCTATTGGGGATTTGTTGTCTGTACTTTTGAGTTGGATGACTTTGTATGATCTGTCCAGCTCTCAGTTTTAAAAGCAAGACCACTAAAACTCCCTTGATCTAAGTTGTCAGTAATGTTCAAATCACAAGTGTTTCCACAAAGTTGAAGTTTTCTCAATTAACAGTTTTCCTCTCTTCTTACTAAACTTACCCACTTACATTTAAGTCCTTTTGAATGTAAGTGTTACAGTTGCAAACCTAAGCAAGGTAAATAAGCTTATTGACATAGGATGCACCCCTATAGGCACTTCACATCTGATGCAACTTTCTTTACAAAGACTTGATTTGACAGCAGTGATTGTACAGGATGGAGACTTTATTGAGTAGTTGAACCTCCAAATGGGCTGATGTGAGAATTGGGAGTAGGTGGCAGGTGGTAGATTTAGCAGAGAAAAATGCAGGTACCCATTTGAGTTTGAATTTCAGATAAACAACGACTTATTATTAGTTTTTAGTTTAGGTATGGAATACTTATATTTTTAATAAAAGCATGGAATTTGGTATTTAGTTATACTCACATATCATTCACTGTCTGTAGTTCAGATTTAATTGGAAACCAGTGATCATAAGGAATGTGTCTGTCTGTCCAAGTGCAGTACATTCCGCCTTTCAAACCTTGAGAGTCTTTCTAAAAAGCCCCATGCTCCCAGCTCCCCGTGGGAAAGGCTTTTCAGAGGAAACTGGGAGGACAGAGGCTTTTTATTTGTCTTTTTGCTCTAATCTGGTGTTTACTGTTTAATTCTTCAATTATTAGAGATGGTCCTTTGGGCAGTGAAGTTATTTCCGTCCCTTAGGATATCCACTTCAATTTCAACTTCAACTTGAATTTCAGATAAACAAGGAATAATTTTTTTGTGTAAGTGTGTCCCAGATGGATAAATATAATCAAAGTTGTCTTCTTTCCTTCTGAATTGTGACTGCCTAAGGTTCTCAAGGGGAGGATGGTGCTCCACACCCACCTTTTTTTCCCCTCCCTCCTTGAGCACTAAAGGAAAAAGTAGAAAATAAGCAAGGATTCCCAGGCTATTTGCTCCTCGTTGCAAGATCAAGCCTTGGATGAATCACGAAACATGAGTGCATTGGAGACTTCAGAGTGGGCAGGAAATCCCAAACAATTGTCTAAACATTTTGCTCAATGCCTGATATCTTTTATGACAGCACCAGCAACAAGCTCTGTGGTCTGTTTTGGAACACTTTGGAAGGGGCAGCCTTTTTAATCACCATCCTCCTTATCATTTACTTCTTGCTGGTCGTTGTGTCCACAGTGTAGAAAGTTCTTACAGTAAACCAAAATGGACATTTCTGAATTTAGAAAAAAGAATGCCCTTTTCCTTTTATGCCTTCATTCAGTCTATATATATGTATCTTTCTTTCTCTATTACACATGCAAATACTGAAGTTTGGAGAGGTGACCTCATTAATTGAACAGGTAATTCTTAAGTGCTCTAAGCCAGGTTTTCTGATTCCAAGTACAATTTGTCCTAGTTGGGCTCAACCTCTAAGCCATTGAACAAACTTGCCAGGTTTACATGTCTGAGCACACATTCCTAGTTAGCAGGGCCCAAGAGGTGAGTTCCAAAGGGCCTCATACGTCTGTATATAAAAGATAAAGGCCTGTTTGTATATGTCTTGTACATAGAAGATAAAACCACATCAGTGTTTTATGAATTCAAAGGTGGTGAGATATGGCACAGTTTAAGGACTAATAGTAACTCTGTGTCCGTTGTGCTCAAAACTTAGTGGCGCTCTTACATAGTACGTCCTTCGGCTGCTCTCCATGAGGCAAGATAGTAAGTCTGCTTCTTCCAGAATGAAAGAAGTAGTATTAATTTCATGTTAATTACTGTTGAGAATCCATGCTTTGTGGCCAGATAGCCTGGATTCAGTCACACCTTTATTTACCTTACCTCTGGACCGATTAATTCACCTTTCTAGGTTGCAGTGTCCTCATCTATAGGATGGGTGACTACCTGCTCCACAGTGGGATTCTGAGACATAAATGACCTCATTCACTTAAGGCACTTAGCATAGTGTCAGGCACATAGTATTGTAAGCTCAAAAGTTATCTATGGTAGTGAATTCAAGTGAGGTTTCTTCAACTTTTTGTGCCATAGATCCTTTTGCAGTCTGGTGAAATAGCCTTGACTCTTTCTTAATATCTTTTGTTTTCAGTGGTGGGAATGGAAAACCAGAGCCTCCTGCATGCTAGGCAAGAATATTACCACTGAGCCATATCTCCAGCTCCAGCATCATATTTAAATGCATAAACTATAAATCAGAAGAAACTAATCACACTTAAATACCACTACCAAACTATTCTAAAATCAAATTTGTGATATAATAGCATGAGCTTTTTTTTTTTAATAGATCTGGAGGTAGCTAAATACTTGGTAGTAGATATTTCAAAGCAATGATGAGTATAAATGGTATTTTGAGTTATCCGCAACTGACATGTAATGTATCACTAGGTGTAATTTTTACTAGTAACAGAGTCACAGGTATTACTAATAGTAGGCATTGTGAGTTTTGCCCAGATGCATCATCAAAGGAAACACTTAACTTCATTTACAGATTTAACTAGGGATTTATATTTTTCTCCACCCAAGTTCTTGAATTCCTAAATTCTACCCATGGAATTCTCGAGGGTTACTGGGCCCAGATAAGAACCCTGATATTTTTCCCAGTAAGATCATCTGGAGCATGATGCCTGCCCCATTAAAGGAAGCCAGTGTCTGTTCTTTCCTATATCATGTCTACACAGGCTTGTAACTCAAAGGAAAATAACTGCATTGTGCTGAAAAAGAGAAAAAAGAGCCTAGAGCAAAGAAGGCACAGGTGTTTCATCTTGAGTGTCAGTTTTAATAAATTGTAATGGTTGTTGGAACAAGCGTCTAAGGAGTGCTGTGATTGACTAGTGATGCCTTCTTGATGGCAACTTGGCCTCAGGCATGCCATCTGAGGTCCAGAACGTTCATACGCTATGGTTATACAGTGTTAGGGAGCAAAAGGCTGTAGAAAAGGAAAATGATTTTCCTTCTCTCACCTCATTCTTATTTGTGTCTATGCCATTTTTCACATGAATACTTAAGGTCTTTGATCTCCTAGTCCAAAGAGGTTTGTACAGTTTTCTGTATTCCCCAAACTTTTTTTTTCCTTTTCTGCATAGCAGTTTTATGAATAATTTACAAACAGTCATGCCAAAGGTCACCAGTCAGGGACTACTCCATGTACAATGGCAGAAAACCCAATCGGTGAAGCAGAAGCTTCACATGATGCTACAAAATGGGGCATGGGCTGAAAACTAGTATTCTCATTGCAGTCTCTTTATAGAATGTACACTGAGAAAGTCAAAATATATTTACAGTCATTTCAAATGGGCACTACCAACATATTTAATAAAAAAAAAATCCTGTTTCATTGCCTGCTTCTTTTAAAGAGAATTTTAAAATACATAGTAAGGAAATAATTGCATTCTTAATATGAAAGCATTTATAACTTATAGTCATGGTCAATTAGTTCTGAGTATCTATAATGTAAAAGTTGTTAAAATGTAAAGTGAGTATTTCCTTTCTCATTAGAAAATCAACTAAAAAGATTACCTTTATAAAACCTTTGGTCCCTAAGCATTACGATCTGAATGTCCCATTTTGAAATGTCACTGAAAACACCTGACAGTGCCAGTGTGCTGTGAGGCCAGGTCTTTCCCCAAACTTCTTAAATCATTGGGAATGCTTTCAGCTGCAAGTAACATTCGTCAGATTAGTGATAGCTTACACAAATAGGGATTTGTTTTTCTTGTATGATTGTATGACAAAAGCTCTGTAGGTGGACCACTCTGGTTTGCTTGCAGTCAGTGATAACATAAAGGAACTAGATTCTGCCTATATTTTCATGCTTTAACACTTGCTGTTGACTTTACAGCCTCATCCTTACCAAGGATGCAGAACAGCTGCTGTCATCTCCAGCACTATATTTGTGTTAAACTTGTGAAGAAGGAAGGATGGCGATTCTAGCTAGCTATCTTCTTGTGTCTGTGCTTTCTATCTGGAACAAAAATATCTTTCCCCAAATTTGAGTCATAGGATTATACCTAGCTACAAAGGAGGTTGAAAACACATGGCTCAGCCACCCCTGCAGTGGAGAGGGCAAAAGAGAAAGGGATGGAAAGGGGTGGGCTTTAGTTCTGTTAGCCTCACAGGTCTACCACCTTAGAATATAGAATTCTGTTAACAAGCAGAGAACTGATAGTTCTGCCAGAAAAAAAGGTCTGGCAGTTGTCTGTAGAAGGAATTTGGAAGTCTTGATGGGCTGCAAAGGATCGAAGCAAAGTCCTATTTTGTGTATGTATATATATATATATATATATATATATAAAATAAAGAAATGCCAAGGGAAAATTATTTGATTAACTAAAAGTCATCCACAGCCCTATGTAACCCTTCAGTTTTAGTAGCTGGCAGTCTGCTTATCTAAAGATGATATCGTACAAACAAATACCCCATAGTAAGCTGTTCAGACACATCTGAACATGTTACTTTGAACAGATTGTGTTTAATCACATAGCTTATTTTTGAGAAAGGTAGATGGTAATTGCAATTATTCCTATTTTTGAATAGTCCAGTAAGCATAATAAATAAGTTATACAAAATTAACATCCAAACCAACACATGATACTTGATGTACAAATCACAGTTATGACCCATTGATTTGTATCTACGTGTTTCTGGAGTCATACAATGTTAGTACAATCAACCTTGGCAGTCTTCTAGGTTCACCCTTATTGTATCCATAAAGAAGACTGAGACCTGTAGAGATTCACTGACCCACCAAAGATCATGGCAGTGTTACTGCAAAGACAACAACACAGATCACTTCACTCCTGTCTGAGAAAGATTCAGAGCACTTGGTACAGCTGCCTCTCGTTTTAGCTTGTTCCAGCTCTTCCTCACTGAGTTGAACTTTGGGAAAAGTTGCCTCTGATTGTCTGAGTTGGTTCTATCATTTCTTAAGCCGGGGGTGATGGTATGCAATTCATTGGGCTAGTTGAAGAATTGAGTGACTTAATTGAGGTAAATCACTTAAAATAGGCAGATTTAGACTAGTGGTAAATAGTAGCTATTATTGATTTCCTTTGAATCACCTGTGCTTATCATCCCCACCACCATTACTATTACTACTACCACTGCATAGAATATATGTAATATAATGTATAAAGTATAATATAACATATTTCCTTTTAAATTATTCCTAGGACATGTAGGAGTAAGATTTACTGTATTTTCATTGCTTTACTTTTGAGTTTCTTTATTTGAATTTTTATTGTATTTACATATTATTTATTTGCATTATTGCTATATTTCAAGTAATGTAATACTATTTGAGTTCAGGTTTCCAAAGGTGTACTGATTACAATCTGTTTAGAAACTTTGTAAATGGTATGAATTGTCAGAATGTACAGGTGGCATAAACTCACTGGTCATTCTGCATTATGGAGGCCCAGACTGCCTTCCATTTTTCTGAGAATCCATTAGCCAGTGTCTGGAAGTGAGAAGCTGTTAGAGATTTGAATAGGAGAGGGACAGGTAGCGAATTGCTATTTGCCTCTTAAATGTGTGCTGTATTGGAACCACTTTGAAAAAATACAAAGTTCCTGCAAGTACAATTGCCGTCTTTATGGCTCTAGAGAACAGAACGAAGGTGAGAACACAAGAGAAGAGAAAGCCAAGAGAACGTGGCCTTCAAAATAGACATTTCCACATGTGTTGGCCCAGTCTTCCTTATGGCTCTCCAGGGTGGAGAAGAAAGGGGAGACTATCCTGTTAGAGATCAATACTCCCAAGTTATTTCTACTTTTTTGTTTTCTTTAAAAAATGGAACAAGTGATTTTGTTAAAGTAGTCAATGTTCTCCAGACCTCCAACCTCAATAAGAGAATGGTACTTTTTCTATAATGGTGTCTTTGGTGTGCCAGGCTCTGAGCAACGCCATTTTCTCTTGGCTTCTTCCCATCAGGATTCATTGTTTGGTCTTTAGTAGGAAGGCAGGGCTTCTGGTTGCACATCTGACCTCTCTTCCCACACCAAAGCTGTGAGAAACATGATCTGCTCTGTCTGTGCACAGGAACTTGCATACAAGTTTAACTTGTTGAGTTCCTGGTTGTCTTTACAACCCCCATCCACACGTAGAACTCTGTGGCCTGCATTTTTGTTTTAACTTCATTTTTGGTGCTGCTTTATGGGAGTTTTTTTGTTTGTTTGTTTTGGGGCTTGAACTCAGGGCCTACACCTTGAACCACTCCACCAGCTCTTTTTTGTGATGGGTTTTTTTGAGATAGGGTCTCTCCTGGGCTGGCTTTGAACTGCAATATTCCTGATCTCTGCCTCCTGAACAGCTAGGATTATAGGAGTGAGCCCAGTGCCCGGCCTGATTTATGTTCTTACACTTGTGTTCCTACCTTCTCTTTCATCTGTTTTAGATTTATGCTGCTTTATGTATTGCTGTACACCTCTGTAGACCTTTCCTGAAACAAAGCCGGGAATACGTAAACAGTTTGGTTTTGTTCTTTAACAGAAATCGACTTAAAGCCTCCAGAGAAGTAGAATCCATAGACCTTCCAAACTGCCACCTGATTAAAGGGATTGGTACGTATGAGAAAATGCTTGTTGGGCACATTCCATCTGTGGCCACCAGGATCACAACACTCATTAACAGTGTTTTGGCATGCAATTACTGTTTCAGCAATTAAATCACATTAATCAACAGAAACCTCTTTTGATCTTATGCATCCTGTATTTCTCCTTTCTCAGGCTCGCTGTGATTTATTAATTGTGTAATGCTGTGTTTCGTGTTTGATTTCTTGCTTATATAGTGACTTCTCTGAACTATGTTTATGAAGTCTGGGTTCTTTGTTGTATATGACTCCTGATGTCTATGTTGAAACAGTATAGAACATCTAAAATGTTCTGTAGTGGTCAGCTAGTGACATGAAGTCAGAAGGAAGGTACGTTCCATATAGGCAGGAATAGTGTTTATCATGCTACCTACTCTAACCAGCATCTGATCTTATCCCTAATGTGAAATCGGTGCTTCTTAGTGCATATTGAAAAAACCCAACTACTTGCTCTTGTTTTTATCTTAGCTGTGACCACAGAGGGGAGAACAGTTAGAGTTCCTTGCCCCTTTGACTCTATGTAGGATGTACCACAGGACCTGAGTCTTGGGAAGAGCTCCTAAGAACAGACCTTGTTCCACTGCCTTGGAACCAGGGACCCTGTCCCATTTCTTCACTAGCACCAGAGCCTCTCCATCTTCTCTGCAATTGCTTCTAGGACAGAGTCCATGTCTTGCTGTTTTTTACACTTTGCCGCCTACCAAAGTCTGTGGGACATAGTAGACTCTCCACAAATATTGTTGAGTTATCAATGAACAATAAAAATACTGGCTTTTCTTAGAGATAGTTCATGGTATGATAAGAAATACAAAGAGAAGTCCAAGCACTAGTTTCTAGTTCTGTTTCTGCCACGAATTTGCAGTATGAACATGGGCCAAGCTGGACCTCATATTTTCCACTTGTAACGATGAGTTTGAGATTAGGTTGAAGATTTTTAAACTTTATTTATAATCCTCTTGAGACCCACAGTGTGCAAATACCTACACTACCACTGGTCCCTTCTAGGCCTTACATAACAACATCTACAGGTGAGAGACAGTTTAATTTTGCAAAAAATTAAAATCCAGATTGCATAGAAGCATCCTATTCCTTGTAGTGTGTAACACTGATAAATGAGTTTTGAGTGTGCTCCATGCCTTTTCTGTGTTTTTAGGAATACTTTCATTCACAATTTTTTCTTTTTGCGGTACTAGGGTTTGAACTCAGGGCCTCGTGCTTGGTAGGAAGGTGCAGGCAGGTGATCCACCACTTGAGCCATGCCCTCAGCCCTCACACACTTAAAAAAAAACATGAATGGGGTCAAATTAAACATACTATCTTCAGAGCAGCTTTTGCACTTTAATACTATGCTTTGCAAACTTAGGTCAGCGGGTTACCTTTTTTTAACAATACAATATTTTCTTTGTAAAGTTCATATAAACATATGTCCAAATAGTATTGAAACATCTGAAATGAAAAATAAAAGACTCCACAATCTACCTATTCCCTCACAGTAAAAACCCCTTCTCTGATATTTTTAGTGCATATAAACAAATGTATTTATATAAATGCACAACTTTTTCCACAGTTGGCATCTTAGTGTAAGTACTTCACAGCCCACTTTACTCCTTTTATTGCTAATACAGTGCAAGCAGCGCTATGCATTGCACATGTAGATTACCTCATTGTTTTTAATACTTCTACTTTCCATGATTTGTTTTACCAGTACCCTTTTAATGCAGACCTGGGTTATAGCAGAGCTTTTTTGTTTTGAGATTAGGCTGAAGATTTTTAAACTTTATTTATAATCCTCTTGTTTCTTTGACTTAAAAAATTTGTAATAAAATATGTACAAAATTTGTCATTTTAACTGCTTTTAAGTATATAGTTCAGTAGTGTAGCATATATTCTTGTTTTTATGCAACCATTGCTGTTATCCACCCAGAACTTTTCCAGTGTCCAAAACTAACACTTTTGCCCATTAAACAATAACTCCAGACTGGGCTGGGTATCCAGAGATTGGGAGGATTGTGGTATTGTGGTTTAAGGTCAGCCCAGAGCCAGGCACCAGTGGCTCATGCCTGTAATCCTAGCTACCCAGGAGGCAGTGATCAGGAGGATCATGGTTCGAAGCCAGCCCCAGGCAATTAATTCTGCAAGCCCCTATCTCAAAAATACCTTAAAGCAACTGAGGCCAATAGGAAAAGGGGACCAGGAACTAGAGAAAAGGTTAGATTAAAAAGAATTAACCTAGAAGGTAACACCCACGCACAGGAAATCAATGTGAGTCAATGCCCTGTATAGCTATCCTTATCTCAACCAGCAAAACCCCTTGTTCCTTCCTATTATTGCTTATACTCTCTCTACAACAAAATTAGAGATAAGGGCAAAATAGTTTCTGCTGGGTATTGAGGGGGGGAGCGGGAGGGGGTGGAGTGGGTGGTAAGGGAGGGGGTGGGGGCAGGGGGGAGAAATAAACCAAGCCTTGTATGCACATATGAATAATAAAAGAAAAATGAAAAAAAAAAAATACCTAACATAAAAAAGGGCTGGTGAAGTAGCTCAAGGTGTAGGCCTTGAGTTTAAGCCCCAGTACCTGCAAAAAAAAAAAAAAAAATTAAAAAAGATCAGCCCAGGGAAAAAGTTCACAAGTGGCAGTGGGAACCTATGATCCCAGCTACACAGTCCAGGCCTGCCTCAGGAAACATGGCTCAAATGGTAGAATGCAAGGCCCTGCGCTCAAATGCCAGTACTGCCAAAAACAAAATAAAAAAACAATAAAAATGGACAGTAACTCCCATTCTTTCTTCCCGGCTCCCAGCAAACCACCATTCTACTGTTTCTTTCTCTATAAATTGGACTACTCTGCATAGTTCATAGAAGTAGAATCATATTTGTCTTTTTGTGACTTGACTGACTTATTACACTTTGCATTGTTTCCTGAAGGTTCAACTATATTGTAGCATCCATTAAAGTTTCCTTGCCTCTCAACTGAATAATAGTCCCTAGGCAACTACTCTCCCAGAGGTTCCTAGTATTTTTTGAATGAAGAAATGTTCACCGTGGATTAGACATACCCTGCAGCCAGGGCAGAGGTCAAGAGCTTTCACTCTCTTATGATCTCCATGGGACAGCCCAGAACCTCCCCAAGTAAATTATAATATAAGTGAAAAAGTGAACTTCTACCTAAATGCTGTCCCAAGGGGTCCTGCACCGGCTTCCCTTTGTGTTGCTTCTGAATCAATTAAAGGTATTATAGAGCTGCTTCATTCCAAAAAATTATACCACAAACCTAACTATTTACACTAACAAGATTAATGCTTTTAACAGAAGGAAAGTGTGGTGCAATGTACTTTAATTAAAGCAGCCTAATTGTACACTTTACAAAAACATACATTAATTTATAATACACAGTGAGTATCGAGGTCTAACACAATATAATTAATTTCTTTTAGTTTTGTCAGTATATAAAGAGCATTGAATGAAACCTTGTTTCATGATTGAATCACACAGCTAGATTTGAGGTTTCTTTTTTAATTTTGATCTTTTTGATGACATATATTTATACTTATCTATGGAGTTTAGTATGATAATTTGATACTTGAATGCTATGTGTAACAATCACATCAGGTAATTAGCATTTTAATTTCCTCAAATATTAATTCTGTGTTCTGGGAACCTTCAAACTTTTCTCCCCTAATTAACTGAAAGTATTGATTTGTTACACACTCTAGTTATCCCACTGTGCTATAGAACATTAGAATTACTTCCCCCAACTGTATTTTGGTATGATTTTCTACACTCTCCATGCTCTTCTTCCTATCCTTTTTAGCCTCTGATAACCTCGCTTCTAGTCTCAGCTTCTCTGAAAGTTTTTTAGCTTCCACAAATGAGTGAGGACATACAGTATGTCTCTCTGCTCCAAATGGGAGGATTTCATACTTTTGTGGTGGTTTGTTAGGGTTTTTTGTTTGTTTTGTTTTGAGACAGGTCTCACTATGTAGCCCAGGCTGACCTGGAACTCCTGATCCTCCTGCTTTAGCCACCTGAGTGCAGGGGTTGCAGGCAGGTACCACCACACCTGGCCCAGGATTTTATCCCTTTTTATGGCTGGCTGCATGAGGTTCCAATGTGAGCACAAAGGTGTGATGCCACATTTTTCATCCACTCATCCATTGATAGACGTCTTGGTTGGTTGATACTACATCTTTGCTGTTACAAGTAGTGTTGCAATAAGCATGCAGATGTCTCTTTGATATAGTAATTTCATTTCCTCTGGATATATAGCCAGTAGAGGGATTGCTAGATCATACACTGTTTCATTTTCTTCTTTTTGACAATTCTCCATATTATTTCCCATAATTGCTGAACTAATTTACATTCCCACCAACAGCATGTAAGAGTGCTCCTTTCTCTGTGTCCTAGTCAGCATTTGTTTTTCTTCTTTTTAATTGTAGCCAATCTACCTGCGTGAGAAATCATGTCTCACTCTAGTTTTGATTTGCATTTCCCTGATTGAGCGTGTTTTTTAAATGTAGCTCTTGGCCATTTGCATGTCTACTTTTGACGAATGTCCATTCTGACCATGTGCCCATTTTTAAATTGGGTTAGTGTTATTATTGTGTTGTTTGAGTTCCTTTTATACTCTGGATACTAACCCCTTGTCAGATGAATAGTTAGCAAATAGTTTCTTCCATTTTGCAGGTTTTCTCTTCATTTTGCTGATTGAGTCCTTCCTCCTTTGATAAAGTCCTATTGTTGACTTTTTGCAACTACAGACAAATCTATATTTGTATGTCTGTGAATAAATCCTGAACAGAGAGATTGCTGTATTAGTGTGTATGTTGAAATTTTGATGTTCATCACTAAATTGCTGTTGAGTTGGCAACACTAAAACACAAACTATTTGTAAGCACACCCTCTCCAGATAGGGTGTACTCTTTTATCAAAAAGAAACCATCACCTTCCTGTTTCAAGGTTTCTTTACACACCTGTGGCTGGCCTCCCATTCTTTGCATGACTCCTTCCTACATTTTTTATTTCCTTCTCTTTATTGCTGTTTTTTGTGTTTTCCTAGTCTTGCTCCTCCACTTAGGTGGTTGACTGTCCTGGGGCTTCTCCGCCTTCTTATAGTTGCCCAGACATTTGTCAGAAGGATGCAAACTCTGTATTCATTGCCAGGTTGGCTAGATCGATGCTGTACAATACAGACAGCTCTAGAAGAATTGAGATTGTTCTGGAATCCCAAGTCACCCAGTAACTTCATCCCACCTCGTGGCAGTAATCACGAAGAGCCCCTCAGAATGGGTCCATCAAGAGCCAGAACTGGGCCTGTGAGGGCTGTTGGACAAGAATGGGAGGCTGGGTCATGGATCTTTCAGATAACTTTTGCTACTGAGTTAATAATTGTCACATTAGTGAACAGTCCTTGGCCCCGTGAGGCCCACCTTCTGTGAATTCAAGTCTCAGAGTAGACAGCAGGGCACGGCCGACACATTACAGGACAAAGTGCCAAGTGTATTCCTGTAACAGCTCACAGGGATGGAGCGCCTCAGAGAAGAACAAGCCCAGCAGCATTGGGATTCTGAACAGGCGTCTGTCTGTGTTTGTGACCTTTATGTTGTGATGCGTGTGAGCTGCTGTCTGGAATTGGAACGAAGGAGGAAATATGTCACCTGTGGCTCTCCTGAAGTGTGTAATGCCTCTGAGGCACTTCAGAAGGCAACAGAGCGGAGAAGATGAGTGATTAGAAGCACATTTGAGAGACATTTTTAGACCTAATTAGAATTGTGTTTTTCTTTTCTTTTTTGTTTTTGCCCTGTAGTTAGTACACACCATATGAACATTTGTTTAGTGAGTGTTAGTGATACGAAGTGGTTATAATAATAACCTGTGTTATATACTTTTAACAAATTGCTTATCTAGTGGTCTTTGATTACAGGAAAAACAGTGTACTGGACATACATTCCCATTTAGACCAAAACAACTTGTTAGGGTGGGCAACAAGGCTGGACAGACCTTGTTTCTGTTTCCTATATAGAAACAGTAAAAGCATGCACTTGAGGGTAGTCCCTTCAAGAGCTGACTCCTTCCTCCTTGCCTCCTTGCTTCTTTGCCTCCTGTCTCTCTTCAGCACACACTCACTCTGCAGTGCTACATTTACTGACTCTGGAAATGAACACTTTTTCAAGTCTTGGTCACAAATGGTCGTAAAGATACATTACATATATCATATCATGTCTTTCTTACTTAATAAATAGTAGTCATTGACTACCATTCATGCAGGACATGTGCCTTCTACACAAAGAAAGGAAAAGCTCACTGTTTATTACTTTTTTTTTTGGTGGTACCAAGATTTGAACTCGGCTTTACACTTTCTACACAGGTGCTCTACTACTTGAGCCACTCTGCCAGCCAATTATTGTATTTTTTTAATTTCTTCCCAGTCTACCAAATGAAAGCTAAGCTTTTACATACTGAAGGTTTAGTGTAATATCAGTGTCTACATAATAAAAATGATAATGACATGAGCTAGTTAGCTTTAATGTTTTTTTTTTAAATAGTACTCGGGATTGAACTTGGCCTGAGCTTACAAGGGCAAGTGCTCTACCTTGATCCACACCCTTAGCCCTTTCCCTTTTTGTTTTAGCTTAATTTTCAGATAGAGTCTCACAGTTTTGCTTGGGGACTGTGATCCTCCTGCCTGTGCCTCTTGTGTCTTGGAATTACAGGCAGGCACCACCACACATGGCCCTATTTTAAAAATCTTATTTCTAAATGTTTGGCATCCAGAGTTCTAGACTAAATCAACATTTTTGACTGAATTGTCTCCTAAGTTAACTGACATCTTATGCACTTGGCAATCAAGATCTTTACCATAGCTAATGCTTGAGAGAAAAAAAAAAAGATTAAAGTTTGTACCACTCTTGTCATCAAGTCCTCTATAAGGTACCTATGGAAAAAGAGGAAAACAAACAAACAAAAACCCCACTACTAAAACACCATGCAATAGATACCTTTTTTCTTTTCATAGCATATACCTGAGGTTTAGAAACGTTAAGTAAACTTGGAAATTCTTTTCCTTTCCAGTACAGTATCTTTCCCCATGATGAGTTAAACACACATCAGAGTAGTGAGTCAAAAACATGGAAAGCCGCAGTCTACATGACATATTGCATAGTCTGTTGGGTTTGGTGAGGGCTGATTAGCTGTTGTAAAATTACAGTAGCTTAGAGAAAACAGTCCAATTTTTCCTTTTATATAACAGTCCACCGATTAACGAATGGCCCACGATGGTTAGATGACTGGACCATGTGGTAACTGAGGGACAGAAGCTGATGAAGTAGTGCCGCGGTATTCAACATATTCCTCCATCGTGGCCCAAAACTAGGACTCCAGTTGTTGCCGTTTCTCAGTGGAGAGGGAGAGAAAGAAAATTTAGTGGATTTTTAAAAATTTTACCCAGTCGTTACACCTTGTATTCTCATGTCACACTGTCCTTAACTTCGTGTTAAGAAGTTACATGAGTCATGTATGTAAAGTACTTAGAAAGAGTTTGGTATGCACTTACTGTATGCTAAGCTATTACTACTAATTATTATTTTCGAATTAAAGGAAAAAAATATTCTCCAGGAGTGACTGCTCCTGGAGTAATTACACCAAACAGATGATATAAGATGATGAAAGACTATTGTGATATTGACTATCAGAGTGAAAATGGGTGAATATATCTGGAAAATACTCCATGGTAAACTAGAGATAAAACTTATTAGCCTATAATCCTAGCTACTCCGGAGGCAGCGATCAGGAGGCTCATGGTTCAAATCCAGCCTGGGCAAATAGTTCATGAGACCCTGTCTCAAAAAATAAATCACAAAAAAGAGGGCTGGTGGAATGTCTCAAGGTGTAGGCCCTGAGTTCAAACTCCACTACTGCGAAAAAGAAAGAAAAACTTATTTTCTTCATTGGAACAAGACCGTGGAATTAAACAGAAGGAAGTCACAATGAGTTTGAAATGAAAATATTTTTTAAAATTGCCTTTGTCTTGATTATTAAAAACAGCACTATTATTCATGCAAAATTTATCATTTTATATTATTTTAATTAATTTGGAGAGTTGGGATTGAACAGGGCCTTACATGTGGTAAGCATGTGTTCTACTGAGCTACACTCCCAAGCCTTTAGAAAAGCTTAAACAAAAAGAAGAAAATCACTCAATTCTACCACCTAAAGAAATGTTGTTAATTTTCAATTTAAAAAAATGTGTTTTCCTAAATACTTTTCAGGAAAAATAAATTTTAATCAAGTTTCTACTACATGAGCCAGGAAAGCAAAACGTGGACTGAAATTTGTGTGTGTGTGTTTACTAGATTCTAGTGCTTCCTTTTTGGGGAAATCACAGACTGTTTTTTGAAGCTGCTAAAAGTCAATATGCTTTTCATAGAAAGCATAAATCAATATGCTTTTCTTAACTGTACACACAAAAACATTTTGCAGCCAGGCACTGGTGACTTACGCCTTTAATCCTAACTACTTAGGAGGCAGAGATCAGGAGGATCGAGATTTGAATCCAGCACAGGGAAATAGTTTACGAGACCCTATTGTGAAAACACTCACCATAAATAAGGGCTGGTGGAGTAGCTCAAGTGGTAAGAGCACCTGCTTAGCAAATGTGAGGCCTGGAGTTCAAACCCTAGTAACACCACACACACACACACACACACACACACACTCTCTCACTCACCCCTAAAATAAAAACCATTTTGCAATGCATAGGATTTCAGAGAATCTGCAGAACCTTTGAAGCCCACTTGTGGCTCTTCGGGGATCCACTGACCCACTCCACTATACTGTGATTAAGCTGGTTTATATCTGTCTTCTGAGGAATAGGCACATGGGTCATCTTTACAAAGTGAAGTTGTTGGTATGATTTTGTTTTGCTTTTCTGCACTGTGATAGAGCAAGCAGCACTGAAAGCAGCTGGCTCAATGCAAACTCATGAATCAAAACCAAAATGGCAGGCGAGATGGATGCTGTTTGGTGTTGACAACCTAGAAATCACCTTGGTGAAATCTTTTGGAGGGGTCGTATAGAGGAAGATTGGATTTTGTAGACTCAAAGAATGTGTTATGATTTGGCTTAATCTAAGCCATTTTGATTCCTCTTTTCTTGTGTTTGGGTCTATTACCTGTCTGTGGAATTTATACAGAGTCCAGCGGGAAGGTCTTATGTCTAATTATTTTGCAGTGCTATGCGGAGTATACTGCAGATGGTCGATAAGCAATCAATAGTAATTGTAGCCTGCCTCAGAGATTGGAGCTGGGAGCTTCAGCTGACTTAAGTGCATGGGTTTCTTCATTAATTTTCTCTTGCTAGTTTTTCCTTTTCCTATAATTTAAAGCCTAAATTTGAAGACTAGATAGCTTTTTTGCTTATGAGAACAAGTAGGCACTGTTTTTAAGGAGGGAATGTGTAATCCCAGGTGTTTTATCTCTGTTAATGAGAGAAATGTCTTTTTGCTTCAGATTGAATGAGCAGAGAGGAGGACAGGGATATTTATTTGCATGGTTAAATAACTATGAGGCCTTGCTTCTGAAAGTAATATTCCCCTGATGTCAATTACTTTTATACAGACATCTGGATGTTTATCATAACAGTACAGACGTCAACTTTTTCTGTATCATAGCTGGAAATGTAGTGATAACTTGACTTTGATTTGAGTAAACACAAAATATCTAACACTTAAAGTCTGAAGTTCAATTTAGGAAAGGTTTTCGACTGACGCTTATTAAAGACAATGGTGCCTTGGAAAAAAAATTGGAAATGTCCCTAAAGATACAGATGCTCTGATAAGGTAAACAAAGTCCAACTTATGCTATCTGTAACAAATAACAGAATTTGAAAATGACATTTACCCACCCCTTGAACTTACAGAAGCTGGCGCTGAAGATATCGACATTCTTCCCAGTGGCCTGGCTTTCTTTAGTGTGGTGAGTACTGTCTTCCTTCCCCATGGGCAGTGGAGGAGACACAAGGGTGTTTGTTCAGCCCATGAAACAGTAACTTACTTATTTCCTCACTTTCCAAAATAAGTTCTGAAAAAAAACATGGGTCACCTGGATCTTGGAAGCTTCCTTAAGCTTTTCTGAATGTACAGATGAATCTTTGCCAATTTATTTATGGTTCTTTGTTTCCTTATTACATAGTACTGGAATATTCCAATACAATCTGTATTTTAAAAGGGTCATGTAAAAAGGTATTTGAGGGCTGCAGAGAGTGGCTCAAATGGCAGAGTGCCTGACTAGCAAGTGTGAGGCCCCAAGGTCAAGGCCCTGTATGCCAAAAAAAAAATGTGTTATGATTGAGGCGTCATTGTGTATGTATTTTAGATACTAACATTATATCACTTTAAGTACAGCATCTGTCCTTCCTCTTGTTACTCAGTTTTAAGCATATTCAATTTTCCATATTCATATTTGCTATATATTTCTAACAATATGCCAATTTTCCCAAACCAAGACTGATGCTTTTTCTTTCGTTTTTTTCTGTTGAATAGCATATCATAAGTAGAAAGCTAAAAAATAATACCCCTTTTGAAGGTACAATAGAAAGACTTTAAAACTGATTGGTCTATATTATATTGGCCTCCACGCTCAGTCTTGTTGGGAATCCTGACAAGAGGGGACTTCTGATCCCCACTTTCCTGGCTTGGGCAGAAGTAAGAGTCTTGCATTTTCATGGATCCAGCCTTTCTCGAAAAAGTATGTGACTCCAAAGGCTAACTCTTAATTATTCTGCTTCCATTCCACATCCATTACTTTCAGACTCTGAGACTCAGGAAGGATGTGAAAAACTTGGATATACTTTTGAGGAGAGCTGTAACAGTAATAAAATAGTTGTCAGACTTGCAAGAAAGGTGAGAGAACTCAGCTTGGAAGAGAATGAAGTTTGGAACCCTCCTTAGGTTACTGATGGTTTTTATATGAAAGACTGTGAGCAGCTGGTTATTAATATACCACTGAGGGAAAAAGAAGAAGCATAGTAAGGGAGAAACATCAATATTTATATCTAAAGACTATAGTTTTAATTGCCTACACAGAGTGAATCAACTCCTACTTATAATAGGACTCTGGGATCATTAAGAAATGTGTCTATAAGGCTTAGTGAAAGACACTGGAACTAGTCAAGATTATTCACAACTTGAAATGCAAAAATCCTGAATAAAGTAGAATGAAATTGCATTGGGTTTTTCTATGTGTGTGTTTTAGAGATTTTTATAATTCAGAATTTAGCTATTTCAAGATTTTGAATCCCCATAGGAATGCATCTGAACAGGTAGGGGCAAGGTTTCCAAGCGTAAGAATCTACAGCCATTTTAGCTGAGGGGCTGTCATAGCCATATAACCCTGTGGCCATGTCAACAGGTTTTTCTGCTTTTTTCTGTTATCTGTGCTTGGTTATGACTATTTTTTCCCAGATTTAGAAACATTGCCTCTTTACTGCTGTTTTTCATTTACTCAGCATTGCCTCAAACACCCCCCAGTATAAACGAGGAGCCATGTATCCTGGGGTGATATGCCTTCTTAGCATTGTAGCTCACCTAACGCATCCTGTTCCATAGATGTGGATTTGAGGGACACCTCAACACTAACATCATATTTGATGAGGGATTGGATGACAGAATAGAACATAAAAAGGATTTAAACAACAAGGTGAATACTTTTTTTTTTAAATTTTATTTTATTATTTTTACATTTACTTACACATGCATACATTATTTGGGTCACCCCCCCCTCCCCCGCTCACCAAGGTGAACACTTAACACTACTGGTAACGCAGGTAAATTTTATGTTATTTTTATTTTATCACAATTAAAAATAAAATAAATTTTAAAAGCAAAAAATATCCAAAATAATAGGAAGTGTTAAAATAATGGTGAATAGTTATCACCATTATCTGATCACTTTACACTGTCATTCTGGGGATGTTAATAAAGAGTGGAGATTATTGGCAGCTGAAGGCACTGCCATGTGGAAATAGTATCATTCCAGTCTATTCTGTTACTGGCCTGGCAGCCTTGGAAGTATGCAATTGTAGATAGTCTTTTTCTTTCTTTTTAAAAAATTTTTTTTTTGGTAGTACCAAGGCAACCTTGAGCCACTCCACCAGCCCTTTGTGTGTGTGTGTGTGTGTGTGTGTGTGTGTGTGTGTTAGGTGTTTTTTGAGATAGGGTCTGAAGAACTATTTGCCCTGGCTAGCTTTGAACCGCGATCCTCCTGATCTTTGCCTCCTGAGTAGCTAGGATTACAGGCACCCGGCTCTTTTTTTCAATTAGCAGAATTTCCTAGTCTGTCCAGTTTTGTGTATAAAGTGACTCGTCTTCTTTATGGTATCCTTAAATTTGCATAAAGTATGAACTCATTGTATTAGGAAACGGCATACAATAATACATTCAAATAAAATGTACTATCATCAATAAGACTTTCTTAAGAATGTAAGGATGAGTCAGCGTTTTATAGATAGCTGGACAATTTATTGAGTAACTAATTTAAGAGAGAAAAAAACCCTAGATCCTCTCAGTACGTGCCAAAAGAGCATTAAATAAAATTCAATACTTGTTCCTGATTAAAAGCTCCAAGTAAACTAGAAATGGAAGGAAAATTCCCAGAAACCAGCAGTAAAACATCATTCTTAATGATGAAACATTAGTTGTATTCCTGTTAATGTTCACAACAGGAAGAAAACGCCCAATATCACAACAACCATCGGTAGGTAATAGAGTTCTTAATAACCTTATACAACAAGAAAGAAATGTGAGGAAGGAAAACAAGACATAACTGCCTTTATTTTCAGATAATGTGATTCTGTTTTTTTAAGCAATCCATGAGATTCAACCAACGACTATTAGAACAAAGAGGAGAGTTCAGTGAGTTGGATTCAAAATGAGCATAGAAAATGCCATGGCCTCCCACATACCGGGAGATACCAAGTAGAAAATGCAATGATGACAATGTTCATTCAAGATAGCAGTTAATTCTCACATCTGTGAGTCGTGTGTGTTTAACATATGTGTCTGTAAAGCTCTAATAATTTAAAGTGCTGTATTGGCACAGAAATAGACATGAAGCAACAAAAGAACAAACTAGAGAATCGCCTAATAGACCCATAGGAAAATGGGCATTGAGGACTTTATGAGTAAGGGGGAGAAGGATGGAGTCTTTGTTAGTCCTCTTCCAGGCACTGGGATCTAGTAGAGAGTGAGCACAAGAGTCCCACCTTGTATTCAGTTGGGGTTGTGAATCGGGTCAGATGGTGACTGTGCTCAGGTAGAAGAGAAGGCATGAATCTTGCCAATATGGTGGGAAGAGACTCACAGGTAGAAAGAAGAGCAGCACACAAGTCATGAGAAGAGGGTGAACCAGTTGTGCCGGAGGGACAATAGTGACCTCTTCTTCACCAACTTGTGTGTGTCTGTCTTAGATCCTTACTATACTAAATACAGCATAGCATTCAGGCAGGTATTAAGATGTACCTGTGTGTGTGTGTGTGTGTGTGTGTGTGTGTGTGTGTGGTTTAGGAAAATGGCAATGAGGGTGATGGAGAAAAGTAAACCAGGGTAAGGAGGTCAGGACATGCCAGGCAGATGGGTATTTTGTTTTGGAGTGGCCTCACTGAGAAGTGACATTTGGCACAGATAGAAAGAAATTAAGGACAGGATCCCTACCTCTGGGAGTGGGGGAGCATCACTAGTTAGACACAACAGAGCATGAAAGCCGCGAGGTGAGACCATGCTCGCCTGTTGAACATCAGGAAGCCTGGATGACCAGGGTAACTCAAGTGAGGAAGAGGGTCAGAAGGGATGAAGAGAGGTGGGGGGGTGCATTGGGGTGGGGGGACAAGAAGGGCTGATTGTACACAGCCTTTAGGCCCTTGTAAGAATTCTTGTTTATAATCGGAGGGAGATGAGACACCGTTCATAAGTTTGGATCAGAGGTCTGACATAATCTGGGTGCTGGGGTGGGAACTGACTGGGGAGTGATGGACAGAAGCAGAAAGGCCAGTTAGAAGGCTATCGCCGTACTCATGGCTATGTGGACCAGGACAACCCGTGTTGGAAGCGGTGGATGTGTTCACCTTATAAAGGAAAAATCAGCAGGGTTTATTGGTAGATTGGATGTAAGGTGTGAGACAAGGAGGCAACCATGACTGACTTCTTTGGTCGAGACATAGCAGAGTGCAGGCAGGCCTGGTCTCGAGGGAAAGGTTTCCATGCTTACTACGCAAACTTGTACTTAACCCTGCTCTCGACTCTGCCTGGAGTCTCTCAGCCACCAACCTTCTTCTGATTCACCTCAACAGAATCAAGTATTATTCAGCTCCCCAGCTCCCAGTAACAATTTGTTTCTATTATCGTCTCTGTTTCCTTTGTGTTCATGGCTTCCTGCCACCACCTTTTCTTTGAGTTTGTGGCTTTACGCCACATCCTTTAACCAGTGTCTACTTGTCATTCATGTGTAGTTCCCACTGTAGTCCATAAAGATACTGAAGCCTTTAACTTTTTTCTCTGTTTTGGAAAGGGTCTGAAATTTCCAGGACTCCACAGCTTTGCCCCAGATAAGCCTGGAGGAATTTTAATGATGGATCTAGAAGAAGAAAAACCGAGGGCGCTGGAACTAAGAATCAGCCGAGGGTTTGATTTGGCTTCATTTAATCCTCACGGCATCAGCACTTTCATAGACAAGGGTAAGAGCCACCAAGCTACCAACATCAAGAAACATCTAGTGGTTCACAAATGACTGTGGAAATAAATTCGGATCTTATTGATAGGAAGAGAGGGACAATTAACTCATGAATTATTCCTGTGTTCTTCGTACAGCTTTCTCTCTTGCATCTTCAGCCAGCAGGACCTGAGATGTTACTTTGAAATTTCTTTCAGTTAACACCTAAAAGAATGTTTAGATTTCACAACCTTTTCACATACCTGTGAACATTGTATTAAAAGAGTTATACTTCTGAATTAATCTATAAACAGATTATGCATGAACTCCATTGTGGAGTAGGAAACACTCTTCTTTAAAGGTCAAGGGGACCAATGATCAGAAATAACACCAAACAGACAGTGATGGCAAAGACTGGTCGTCTATGGCTTGTACATTCAACCTTTCCTTGCCGGTGATATTTAAATGTCACCGTCTGCCCAGAGGCCCTAGGGTTATGTCTTGTAAATTAACTCTGTCTTTTTGATTCTTTAGATAACACAGTTTATCTCTTTGTTGTAAATCATCCTGAATTCAAGAATACAGTGGAAATTTTTAAATTTGAAGAAGAAGAAAATTCTCTGTTGCACCTGAAAACAATCAAACATGAGCTTCTTCCAAGGTATTTCCTCCTTTTGCCCATTCTGGAGTTTTCAGACATTCCCCAGGGAGGGTGGGCCTCTTACCTTCTGTAAAAACATATACAGAAGGTATATGCTTACATAGAAACACATATATAATTATATATTAGCTAATATCTAATGTATTATATAATCATAAAATTTAATATATACATATATATATTATACTTAGTCCAAGAGTTTGTGTGTGTGTGTGTGTATTTATACAGGTTAAGCATTTTTTACCCTTATCTTAGCCAAAAGGCCAAGAAGCAATGATAGGTTAAACATTTTTAACCCAAAAATTTGAAATCTGAAAGGCTCCACAATCTGAAACTGTTTGAATGCCAACACATGACTCAAGGGGAAAATTTCACAGCATGAAGTTGTTTCATGCTGTGAATTTTTGGAAATATATGGAATTCCTTCCAGTGAGCCAGGTGCCATGGCTGACACCTGTAATTCCAGCTACCCAGGAAACAGAGATAGGAGGATCAGGGTTTGAGGCTGACTCAGATAAAAAGTTAGCAAAACCCTGTCTCAAAAATAAACTGGGTGTGGTGGTTCATGCCGGTAATCTCAGCCATGCAGGAGGCAAAGGTAGGAAGATCACGGTTCAAGCCTGGCCCTGGCAAAAAATGCAAGATTGCATGCAAAAATAATGAAAGCAAGGCAGACTGGAGGCTTGGCTCCAGTGGTAGTGGTACACTTGCCTAGCAAATGCCAGGGCCTGAGTTCAAAACCCCAGTAACAGCAAAAAATAAAATTACCTTCCAACTATGTGTATAAGATATATATGAAACCTAAATGAGGCTGGTGGAGTGGCTCAGGTGGTGGAGTGCCTGCTAGCAAGTTTGAGGCCCTGAGTTCCAACCCCAGGACTGCTGAAAAAAAAAAAAAGAAACTTAAACGAATTTCATATTTAGACTTGTTTCCAGTTCCCAAAAGATACCTCATTATATACATGGACATGTTCCAAAGCCCAGAAAAATCAGAAACTTTTGGTCACAAGCATTTTAGGTAGGGGACACTCAGCCACGTGCACACACTTGCAGTTTCCTCACAGATCAGAAAGCTCACGCATGGTGTATGGAGTTGATGTCCCTCTTTATAATAATTGACATCTTTTGTGGACTCTCTTAAGAAACAGGAAACACTGAAGTATAGAGCAATCCTTGTCATGCTCATCTTGAGCACACATCACAACCCTGTTTTTCCCTTTTGGCACCCCTGTCTCAGGTGCCCCAGCACGCAGCTCCCTATTCTGTCCCCAGAAGAGTGGCCTGTTTTACATGGGGCTGTGCTTCCTATGAGAATTCTGCAAAGTTCTCTGTCAGGGGTAATGGTAGCCACAAGCTGATGCCCTACAGAACTGCTAGCATTCCAGTTTCGAATGGGTCACTCCTACTCTAACATGATGCTGGTGGGTAAGGTGGCCAAATGAGGACTCCTCCCAACTCAACTTGTGTTAGCCTACTGCTTGTAGTTTAAACTTGATGGATAGTTTTAATCTCTGCTCCTCTCTGTAGAGTGTAAGCTTGTAACTTCCAATAATTCTTCTCCCCAAATGTACTTCTTAATAAATAGGAGCGTAAATACCATTCAGACAGCCTCTCTGTGATGGAGCTTTTGCACAAAACAAGGAGACCCACCTTCTTTGTAGTGCTGTATTTTTCATTTGACAAAGGAGAAAGCGGCTCTTTCAGAACTTTTGCGTAGGATAATTGGAATTTAAATTTCATAACACCCTTGTCTAACTGGCGTAAAAAATGTAATTGTTTTTAGCATATCAGTCTTTCACCTGAAGCCTTGTATTCTGGCAATTTCATCATTCATCTCTCTGCAAGTGTTTACTGAGTATCTGCTCCTTCACAGCATGTCGGTTCTGTGAGGCAGGTAGAAATTGAACAGTCAATCTTAGTTTGACGAATGCCTAAGCCAGGGACCTCAGAAGAACCCAGCGGGTGGTACACAGGGCCAGGGAACTGTTACTGCCAGCCTAAGGAGCTCCCCGGCCAGACGGGCTCTTCACAGTGCACAGCTCTGGCTTGACCTACAGTTACTAAGCCCCACCTTGTTTGCATCAAAAGCCCTGATGACACCAAATTTTCAGTCATTCATTTATTTTTATCTTTATTTTTGAGACGGTGTCTCGATATAGCCCAGGCTGACCTCAGACTCTTGATCCCCCTGCTTTGACCTCTGGAGTACTGGGATTACACATGTGGGTCACCATTCCTGGCTAGATCTTTTTTCTTTTATAGTGATCCTGCCAGAGCTTCTAAATGACCTGCCTTCAAGTCACCTGGTTGGTTACCATATGAAAGTGCTCTCTGTCAAATGATAGACTCATAAGATTTTTAGCTTATCTTGGAAAAAAATTGAAGCATGTGTGTAAGAGCAACTCGATCTGATCTTCTAATGGTACGCAGACCACCGGAGGCTTTTCTTTTCTTTTACATGCTGTGTTTCTCTTTCAGCGTGAATGACATTGTCGCTGTTGGACCTGCACACTTCTATGCCACCAACGACCACTACTTTTCTGACCCTTTCTTAAAGTATTTGGAGACCTACTTGAACTTACACTGGGCGAATGTTATTTACTACAGTCCAAATGAGGTTAAAGTGGCAGCAGAAGGATTCGATTCAGCAAATGGGATCAATATTTCACCTGATAAAAAGTACAAACTTTACAGAATGTCTTCATTTCTTCTAAATTGTGGTGCCAGCCAAACTCTTACTTTGCTTTTTTTTTTTTTTTTGTCAATTTGAAAATAGATTTAACATTTTTGTATCATTTCATATGTGTATAGTAATGCATATATTTACATAGAATGTAAAAGTATATATTTACATACAGTATAAAATTTGACATGTATCATTGCCAAGTTTAAATTTATAAGTTTCATAAAATGGGATCATATTTACATATGTATGTACAGGTTTCCTTTTAGAAACTGTCATTTTTATTGACTATGTAATAGTCCGTGTTAAGGGTGATCCTAAACTGACTTAATCGTTTCTCTGTTGAAGGACATGTGACTTTTTTTCTACATAAAAACCATTTTATACATCTTATTTACCACCAAAACTTACCAGTTATTTTTTAAGGAAAAACTCCTTAAGACAACATTAGAACATAATGGTTAAATTTGCAGATTGTGGACTCATGAAACCTGAGTTCAAATCTATCTAGGAAACCAACTGAATGGCATTGTATGTCCATCTCTTTACTCTCTGTGTAACAACAGAGCCACTTCCTCAGCATGAACGCTTTAGATGTTAACTTTAATAAATATTGCCGAATTATCTTCCAAAAATTCTATCATTATTTTTATGTATATGCCTATTAGAAAGCTACTAGAAAGCTATTAAATTCTTTATTAGCTCTCTCTTCCACTGCCATAGCACTTTGAACAATTTAAACTAACACAAATATAACAAGAAATAAATGTGGCATTCCTTGACAACTAAATGTCTTTATTTTTGCAGTGCAATTTCTCCTTTCTGTTTAAGGAAAACAAATATAGAGTCATTTAATTTAAATTGTGTCTAGACCAGGCACAGTGGCTCATGCCTGTAATCCTAGTTACTCAGAAGGATTGTGGTTTGAGGCCAGCGTGGGCAAATAGTTTGCAAGACCCCAACTCAGCCAATAAAAATCCGGGCATAGTAATGCACACTTAACATCCCAGCTGCATGGGAGGCAGAAATAGGAAGACTGTAGTCCGAGTCAGGCAGGGCATAAAAGTGAGACCCTATTTAAAAAAAAATAACTAAAAGCACAAAGGGCTGGAGGTATGGCTCAAGTAGCAGAGTAGCCTGCCTAGCAAGTGCAAGGCCCTGAGTTCAAATCTCAGTACTGCCTATAAATACACGCACACACGTATGATACATACATACATGCATACATACCAACCTGATCTAACCTCTCCAGCCAAATCTGTTTTTTTTCCCTACCTCTCAGTATTTCTGTCATGAAACTAAAACTTTCTACACATTCAACCTGAAAAATAAACATAATAATGACTAGAGGATTTAGCTCTAACTCCTCTCCCTGTTCCTAGCCCACCATGAGCGAATCACTTGGTTCTCCCCCTCCCCCACTACCCTTCCCTGCTGACCTTGTCAACTCTAGGTTGTCGCGCTCTCTAGCTAGAGTCTTTGTGGCAACTTGCTTTCAGCCTGGTTGCATCTTTTGCACGCTTGCCAGTGTTGTCTTTCTGCACTGAGAATTCTATCTTCATCTTTGGTGGTGCATGCCAGTTGCACACCAGGTACAAAGGGATGCTCGGTCATTGTTGAATTGAACTGACCAGTTTGTTACTTGCCACTTTCTTATTGCAAAAAGAGATGGATGTACAATGCTGTTCAGCTGGTTTCCTAGCTAGATTTGAACCCAGGCCTGATGGGTCCACTATCTGCAGATTTAACCATTATATTCTAATGTGGGGAAGAGGCTGTCTCCCCTTGGCATTTATATCTGCCACAGTGCTGGGTTCGAGGCCGTACATATGATTGCTCAGAACAGTCAACTCCATAAGTAAAATTGTCTTCATGGAGTCTGTTAATTCACCACTCCTTAAGTGTAGCTACAGTGTTCTGGATAGATGCTTAGCTCTCACTCCTAAAATTCTCCATTATGCATTAATACATATTATAAATATTTTAATGAAATAGGCTCTGTACCATATATTTCTATATGTAAATGACAGAAATGTCAGATTATGTTATGGAATGTAGACGCTTTTCTTATGAAACCAAGCATTTGTTTTAATGTCATTTCAGTGGCAGATGTCATGGACTTTATATGCAAATTGATGTCTTATGTTATTTTACCTTACAAACCTTTTTAAAAATTTAAACGGTCCATGATGGTGGTAGCATCACAGAATTGATTATGCAAGCTTACTTTTTAAGTAAAAATTGACCTTTATCAGGCCTTCCTTGAGGGTGCGTCATTGGTTAACTCCTTGGCAGTTGTGGAGATGCTTTGTACTGTGTTAGTGAGGCTCCGTGGGCAAGAGCTCTAATTAGTGTGTCCTTCTGCAAAGGTACATCTATGTTGCTGACACGTTGGCTCATGAAGTTCGCGTTTTAGAAAAACAGCCTAACATGAACTTAACTCAATTAAAGGTAAAGATGTATTTTTATGTATAGCTCCTAATCCATTGTTCTTAGCCGTTACATAGTTGTTTCATGTAACAATACCACACGTGAGCGCCAGGGTAACTATTCCGAATTTTTAAATAGTACCTCACTTCAACATGAGAAATCTGTTGCTAGTGATCACAGGATCCAATGTAACTGCTTGCAGAAGCAGGCTGAGTGATATTTGCACCAGATTTAGGGCTCTTTCCATGAAGTATTGATGGTATTCCATGAATTCCTGTAAGAATTTTCACAATTGAAAAGACTAATAGATGACTTCTCAAATGAAGATTCATGCATGTCGTCAGCCCTTTCAATAATAAATGAACATAGAAATTGGGTCCCACACCATTATTATTTTCGTGCTGTTTGACAACACATATTTCAGGTGGATTACGAATTTCCTGTCTTGCTTTGATGGAGTTCCTTGAGCTAACTGATCATTGTGCATCTTTTAAGGGGAAAGTAATTCTTTTTTTTTTGAGAGACTGATTATCACTCTCAACTTTCTTACTTTTAGAGAAGATGAAAAGTGGTTCCAAACCAGTTTATTAAATTTATTTTAAGCAACCTTGGTGTTAGAAGGGTGGAGGGAGGGAGAAGTGTGTAATTCCCTCCCCGTCCCCCCTCTCCCCCCGCCACGCGCAGAGGTAGGAAAGTTGAGCTCTAAATTATTTAGTCAAGTTTCTCATGTAATTTAGCTATGGCACTTTTTTTTTTTTTTTTTTTAATTTGGAAGGTACTGCAGTTGGATACACTGGTGGATAATTTATCTGTTGATCCTTCCTCGGGGGACATCTGGGTAGGCTGTCACCCTAACGGACAGAAGCTCTTCGTGTATGACCCCAACAATCCTCCTGCCTCAGAGGTTTTTACATTTTTTGTTTTTCAACCTTAATTATTCAACTCCTTTTGAGCTAATAATACAATAAACTGTCACAGGGATGTTTTCTTAGTTCTTTTCAACCAATAATAGAGTAAACTTGTGTGGTGGTTTATAATTGCTTTAAGCCAATAATTGGCAGAATGTTACATTGTACAAATGCTTTTAACAAAGTAATCTTTTGATGTATTAAATTAAGGTGGGAATAAGTCAGAAGGCATTTTTATAAAAACATATGCCCTTCTTGGGTAGTATACTGGCAATTTTTTAAATATATGGTTTATTGTCAACTCACCACATGACAGGATTTTTGTTCATGTTGGAATAGTGGGAACGTAGGCACATTAGTGTGAGCCTATTTCTATTAATGCTGAATTGCTGTAATAACACTAAATCCTGTGTTGGCATGGCACAACTAGGTGTTTTAAAAAGCACTTGTTTTGAAGTTTAAGAAAGTACTTTAATTAAAGCATTAACAAGATTGGTAAGTGCTGTTTCCAGCAGCGTATCCTCTTAATCATTGTGTCATTGTAGAGACTGAGTGACATGGGTGTAGGGTGGTTCCATATTAATACTTTGTATCTCCTGAACAGATTCTTCGCATCCAGAACATTCTCTCTGAGAAGCCTACGGTGACCACAGTCTATGCCAACAATGGATCCATCCTCCAGGGAAGCTCGGTGGCAGCCTTGTATGACCGGATGCTGCTCGTAGGCACTCTGTACCACAGAGCCTTGTACTGTGAACTCTAAACCGTGTTTTCAGTATGCAAGTGTGATAACTTCTTAACCATTAATTGTCCATGAATGGCTCATTCTGAGGGAATTTAACTAGCAATACTGACCCAGAAATGGATGGCATATATAGTTAATTAAGTAAAGAAAGGCCCCATCAGTTCTTATAGCACTTTAACATAAAAGGAAAATGGATATTATTTTTAAGTGCCAAGCCAGAGAGAGAAAGCTTCTTTTCCATAAAGTGATCACTTTGCACAAAATAAGCCTCACTTTTGCCTTCCAATTACAGAATGAGTCCACTGAAACAGGAGAGTGTGTCCTTTGAGTGTCGTGACCTCAGTCCCTACATGCTGACCACTGTGAGAGTCCAGAACTACTGATAGATAACGTGTTTCCATGTTTTGTGCTGACATCTTTGTTTACTTTAAAGAGTTGACATTGTATTAAAGACTAACTGAAATCCAAGTTTCGTCTATATTTAATTCATGAGGCCTGTGCTTTAGGGGGATTAGGAAACCAGCCCTTTCCTGTGGGGTTTCTTTGGGTTAGGCAGGTATGGCTGTGTTAATTTTTCCATTGAAAGCTGATGTGAGGGGGGTTCTTTGTTTGGAAAGAAAACAAACAAGCAACAACAAAAAAGAAACCTAAGTAACTGAATACTGCAGCTCAAATTCTCAGTTCTTCAGGAGTGTCCATCAATTCTCTTCCTGAACGGGAGCCAAAGAGAAGAGAGAAGGTTGGAGCTGGCGGGGCATCTGACCTGCCCATTGAACAGAAGTGTGACCCGAAACCAGGAGTCAGGTGTCCAAGCCTCAAGGTTAAGCAGCAGCCATGCTAGGCTCAGGGTGCAGGGGAGAGTGTTTTTCATTCACTGTACATCCGTAAAACCAATTAAGCTCTGGAGACTTTCATGCCTCTCTTTCTCTTGTAACTTATCACTGCACTTTCCTTTTTTTCTTATTCTTTTCCCCATCTTCATTATCATCGTTAGAATATGGTCAGTTAATTACAATGTGCCCAGCATTGCACTGAAAATGTTGCATTCATTATTTCACTTAATCCTAATTGTAGCCTTGAGGAAGAAGGAGTTGATTTTATATCACTGTTAACATCTCCTAGAAGTTCAAAGTTACACACTTAGTAAGGGGTGGTATCAATCCTTTTTATTCTTTTCTTTTTTTGGCAGTTTGAACTCAAGGCTTCCTGCTTGAGCCACACCTTTTTTACTGTGGTTATTCAGAGATAGGTCTCACTTTTTGTCCAGCTGGCCTGAACTGTAATCCTATTTTATGCTCACTGCCATACCTGGGATGATAGGTGCACACCGTGCCCAGCTTTTCTCTGTGGAGAAGCAGTTTCATAAATTTGTTTGCTCAGGCTGGCCCAAAACTGAGATCCTCCTGATCTCAACCTTCCAAGTAGCAAGGATTGCATGGGTGAGCCACAAGCACCCACTTCAGTCTGTTTCTGATACCAGAGCCTGTCCCATTAACACTACCTGAAAGTACTGCCATAGTACTAATGAGCATTTTAGATATTAGTATTTTCACTAATGTATAGAGTATTGTTTTAAAGATTGAAAGTTTGAGTATTTTTCAATGAATCATTTATGACTTTTGAGTGTAAATTGCAGAAGTATTCTTAAACTTCGACTGTTTTAAGTCAAAGGTTCATTTGACCTGTGTATTTATTTCTGTTATTTATGATTTTTATGTTTTTCAGTTTAGTCTGTGAATAACAAATTTGATAGCTTTCAGGCTAAAGTAATTACTGTTATTTGCTCTTTCTATTATCTAAGGGAAATGTTAGGTCTTAGATGAATAGAGTAAGATTAAGTATTATTTAACCAGGGACCCAAACCACAAAGGCAATGTTTTAGATTTTGGGAGATGATGACAATGACTGTCCAAAAAGCTATATTTAGAAATACAGACACAAAACAAATACAGCAGTATTATGAAAGACAGGTCACGCTAAGGGGAGGCCACTAATGGGAGTGGGAGGGTAAAGGAAGGAAGTTAAGAAGGTGAACATGGGTGACGCACTTTCTATACAAGAATGAATATAGAATTGTTAAACCTGTTAAAATCACCATAAGAAGGGAACTAAGGTAGAAAGGAGAAAAATAGAGGAGATGAGTCAATCTGGGTTATAACATAGATACATGGAAATGGCGCAAGGGAACTTCCGGTATAGCTATCTTACTCAAACAAAAATGTCTTTTTCAAAGACTGAGAACAGTAAGGTAAAACAGGTCCTGTCTGGGGGTTGGCACCAGTGGAAGGGGGGAAGAAGTAGGGAAAAGGTGTAGGAGGGTGAATTAGGTAGAAATATTATGTACTCATGTATGAAAATAGAAAAATAAGACGTGTTGAAACTTCCAGGAATGGGGGGAGGAGAGATAAAGGAGAATGAGAGGGGTGAATTCAACTATGACATATTGTAAGAACTTTTGTAAATATCACAGTGTACCTCCAGTACAACAATAAAAAAGGCTATATTCATAAAATGTGCCAGAATACGGGAGGCATAAATTAAACATGTTTTTTATTTATTAGAAATTTTATATGGATAAAGGCAGATTATAATAAGCACATGCAGAAATAAGCACATCTTAGAAAAAAAGTCAATTCTGAATTTTGGCCACTCTGGGCCATGAGGGATCTATTTTAACAAACTATAAGTATACTGTGCATTTATTTATGGTGATCCTTTTGTGAATGAATTGAACAGTTTGGTCATTAAGAAGTCATCATTCAATACAACCAAAACTGCAATTGGGATATGGCACCACTAGGTGGATATAAGGTTTGTGTGTGTGTGTGTGTGTGTGTGTGTTATCTATTTAATTTGAGATCCTGTTCAATGATAATAAATATCTTTTTGTTTTCTCACAAAACCCCCATCCTTCTTATAACAATTAAACATAAACATGAGTACTTAATACAGGGAATAGGGAAAATTAGATGTAAGTTACAGTATTTTTTTCATTTTGTACATGGATTAATTTTCCATGACAACTAATCTGAGGATGATCCTTTCCCTAGATTTTGATTTGCCCCATTTGAATCCTCTATGTTGAGGTCATAACCCACCTGGGCTGATGAAGGTCCTTTCAGCAGAGCAATGGAGAAGTAATAGCATCTGTCACCACACTACCCACTTCGACGTTCCTTTGGCTACTTGTATTTCCACTATTGACGAGGCTTTCCATGAAAAGATCTCTGGATGTGAGAGGAGGAGGGTTGGGAGAATCTCAGTAGCACTCTCTTAGTTTTCTGCTCCTGCTTTTGTTCCAGTGTGCTTTATTTTATTTATTTTTTATTTATTTATTTATTTTTGAGACAGGCTTTCACTAGGTAACCTCAGCTTTCCAAGGGCTGAGATTACATCCAGTTCTAATTTTCATTCTCTTATTTATTACAAGTGAGTTTAAACACATTTTTAGATATTTAAAGAATTTGTATTTATTTTTCAGTGAATTTTCTTGACTTTTTTTCCTTTAAGGATTTGATCTTTTTGTTATGACTATCTAAGAGTTCTTTGTATTAAAAGATGGAACTTTTTCCATTGATACCTGTACATCAATAGTCAAGTGATTCTTTGGGAGGTGGTGGTACTGGGAATCAAACTCAGGACTCATGAATGCTAGGCAAGAGCTCTGCCACTGAGCTACACTCCCAGATCTGCAATTCTTGGTAGGGCTTCAGAGCACAAGGAAATCATGTTTCTGATTAGAGATAAAAGTTAAATGGACGTTTATAAACTTCAAAGTATTGAGTGCTAGAGACATTTCTTAGACTGAAATTAAGGGAAACCCTAAATGAACGCTCTACCTTCACTTGCTTTTAGTTATTTGCTTTTAATTTACCTTAACTATCACAATTTTGGAGGTCAGCTGAGCAATATATTGTTTGTCTCTCACTAGCTTTGCTGTAGTTAACACCTTTGATGTATGGGTCATGGTAACAGTTGCCTAGGTTACTTTTCAGGGTCTTCAAGGCCACTTTTGCTGAAACTATCATCTTCTGACCTGACATGAGAGGGCTGAAAAGTCCATCCTCTTGTTATGCTGAGGCCACCATTACTTGAACGTGATTTCCATGAAGAGTCATGAAGATTGATTACACATGTGCAGACTGATTGCTTCACTTCTAATAAATATTCACCCTGCTTCTTTATCCATAAATACTCTAAACCCTGTCATTGGGGAGGTGGATTCCAGGCTTGCCTCCCAACTTCATGCTTGTCTATGTTGTAATAAACACTCACACAAAACTGATTCAGTGGTTAGAATTGTGTGCAGCAGGAAAACTGGGCCTTGTTTGGTAATGGCCTGTCTTGAGAAAGGACTAATGTAATGTTTTTGCATGAACCTCGTTTAGGTCTTAAAAGTATGCTCATGATAAACATGACTTTTGTCACTCCACTTTGAAGAAAACTCTAATATCAGGTGGAAGTCACTTTCAATGTCCTCCTTTTTCTAATCAGTAACACTCCTGCTCTCTAGTCCCCAGTCCATGAATACAGCCCTCTCTGTTTCTCCAAACCTGGGTACCTTCTATCATTTCTCCCTCTTCCTCATCACCCTTCCACCCACATCCAACCAATTGCCAATATTCTCTCAAATCATACAATGCCAAGGATTTTGGGAAACAATTCCCACAATTTGTCCAGTACTATGACATATCTCACCCAGATGACTCCCAAGATCTATGGGAGAGGGTCGTTTCCCATCAGGAGACTACAATTTCAAGTGGAAGTTCTTACCTAGGAGTTAATTTTTATCGACTTCCTGTAACATATCAAACTCAGAGCTGAGCACTTCACACATTATCACTTTATCATTATTATTATTTGGCGGTACTGGGGTTTGAACTGAGCCTCACACTTACCTTAAGCCTCTGTTTGGGTCCCTGGTTGGGGCACCACTTGCCAGGATCGCAGAGGTCCTTGACCCAAAAGGGCTCAGGAAAAGAATGAACAGAGGAGACACAAAAAAAGACTCACTCAGGAAGGGAATGACAAGACACATGACCAGAAGGCAGTTGACCAACTGGCAAATTTTTATGTTTCTCAGCAAGCTTCATACAAAAGAGGAAGAGACTTAAACATCAAAATCACACTGACCTAGTTACAACCTTTCTGTTTTGGCATTCTTACTGCCAGTGTC